CACCCAAGGCTCCACCAGGCCGTGCGTCGAGCGCAGCCGAAGCCATTCCACGTGCAGGACGGCGCGCCCTGCCTGCGCAGGCTCGCCACACCGCGCAGGCCCCTGCGCGCAGAGGTGCAGCAGCCCAGCAGGACCGCCGCCGCGCGGAGGGAAGGCGCCGACAAAGCGCATCGCCTCAGCAGGCAGGGGCGCGCCCCTGAACTGCGCGCTCAGATGCTGGCCTCCAGCACAGGGCACGCCGACCTCGTCGATCTCGAACAGTGCGGTTCCACTGATCGCCAAGCGCCCCGAGGACAGGGGGGGGCGCGCCCGCGGCGCCCGCGCCAAGGGCTCCAGGCAAGCCAGGGAAGCCGCCGAGCCCTGGCACCACCGGCGCACCAGCCGCGCCGCCTCCAGCGCCTCCGCCAGCTGCACCTCCAGCCGCGGGCGCGAGGCCGCCTCCGAGGCCGACGGGCGCACCTTCCGCTCCAGCAGCCGCGCCTGCGCGCCCGCGAGCGCGCCGTCCTCCGCCATGTCCAGCGCCTCGGCCGCGGGCGGCAGCGGGAAGCACAGGAAGAGCCTTCGCCTTCGCCTTGGCCTTGGCCTTGGCCTTGGCCTTAGGCGGCATCGGGCGACAAGGTCGACAGAACCGTAATCTGCGCCGCCAACAGCCGCGCCTGCTCAACGAGCAGCGCCCGATCCTGCGGTGCCAGCCGCGCCTCGCGCGCCCCCTGCCGCGCCAGCGCGAGGAGGTAGCACAACTCGCACACCTCCAGGAGCGCGCCGCCCTCCGCGAGGGCCAGACTCTCGCCCTCGGCGAGGCGCCCCGTGCACCAGCCGCAGATCCGAGGCTGCTGGGCCCGCGGGGCGGCGAAGCGCGCGGTGGCGCAAGCAGGGAGCATCCCAGGCCCTCAAGGCCCTGATCCACAAAGGCGGCCATGCATTCTGATGCGGCCAACGTTCGCTCATTACCCCTCCGCCCACACACATTGACCGTGAACGTGTTCATTGCGCCACATAGACTGCAAAACGTGGGATGAACAACATAAGTTGCACGACGTGGATTGCACAACGCAGATTGCACACCATATGTTTCGCCACACACATTGCACCACATAGATTGCACGATCCGCGTTGCAAAACATGCGTTGCAGCACGTGGGTTACACAACATGCATTCCACAACTCAGGTCGCATAACATGTATCGCACCACGTATAGTTCACAACAACTATTGGCCCACAGAGGATGCACAACATACGCCGCACACGCAGATCACATCACATCTAACGCACATCATAGAATGCACAACGTCGGCTGTGCAGCGTGAAGTGCTCCACGTAAATGGCGCCGCATATCAAACACCGCACAGATTGCACGACCTACGCGAATTCAGATAGAAAGCACCACATGGACTACTAGAACAAAAAGGTGCTTGGTCTCCACGGTGGCTACCATTCCGTATGATAGGAGCCACTTCCCTCACCCGACCGGCGACAAACCCGGGACCATGCGGCCCCCGCGTCCCACCATTTTCCAAGGGCTCCCAACTTCGCGCTTCGCGCTCCGCGAAGCGCGAAGCGCGAATAACTTCGCGCTCTCGCGCCGCCCCCCCAAAGGGAGAAAAGGAGGACGAGGAGGAGGGGGAGAAGGAGCGAGGACCGCGAAGCGCGAATAACTTCGCGCCCTCGAGGGCGCCCTTGGCAACATGCACGTTGCACCAAAATCTGGATCATGCGCGGACGCCCCGCGAAAAACTCTGCAGGGGTTTTTCGCAGGGACGGTCGGGGGAGGGGGGGGGGGGCAGCGTCTTCCCTGCTGTGCGTAACGCAAACAAGCCTTACAAACACGGACAACAACAAAGACATGTGCGTTTTTAACGGGAGGGGGCGTGGGGCGCATAGTGCCTGCTGCCCGCAGGCCTACAATCCCTGTCAAAACAAACGCATGATTGCGGGTGTACGCCACCCACACACATAAGACAATGCTCGCGCATCCGCCGACACTGCTCGATGGTTTTTGGCAACAGTGGTGGCGGTGTCGACATATTGCCCAATGTGGCGCATAGTTTGCAAATGGCGCGCGTGGCACAAGCGGCAAGTCTCGCGGGCATCGCGCAGTAGGCTAGCGCGCGCATCGTTTCCCGATAGTTATCGACGGCGGCCCCTTTATTTGTGCTGAGACCCAGGTGCTACTTATGCAATGGGAAAACGAAGGGGGGGGGGTGAGCGACACAGCGTCTGTGTTGAATCCCGATGGTTGTCGATGGCGGCCCCTGTCCATGCTGGGACCCGGGTGATACTGATGTGTTGGGATGGCGGGTGGGGGTGAGCGACAAGGCTGGTTGCGTGTGGGTTTGTTGACCCGTCCCTTGTGTCCCTGCACCTGGACGGGGGGGGGTTTTCGCGACCCATGGAGACCCCAAAACGACAGAAAATGAACCATTTGAAAACCCCAGAAGGCCTCCTGGAGGGTCGCGGGCCTTTTTCTGTATTTCCGGTCATTTTTCCCAACATTCAATGTGGGGGTCTCATCGCACACTCCCCACGCACGCATGATCTCGTCACCTTCGTCATCCATACTATCGTTATTGTTCCTCCTCCTCCCGTCTCTTGGCCTCCTTTGCGCACCCACACGCCCGCGCACCCATCACCATCATCATCACCATCATCATCACCGCCAACAGTATCATCATCATCATCATCATCATCATCATCATCATCATCGTCATCATCATCATCATCCTCATCCTCATCACTACCGTCCCCGACATGGGCAAACCGCGCAGGAGCAGACCACCAACACGCACACACACACCATCATCACCAGCATCATCTTCATCATCACCATCATCGCCACCATCATGCACCCACTCACGCTCACACACTCACTCACCACCAGTCATCATCGTCATCATCGCCATCATCATCATCACCACGCACACCCACACACTCACGCACTGACCTTGAGGACGATCGCCCCTTCCCTGTCGGGCCCGCGCGCTTCAAGTTTGCAGCTTGAGCGGGTCATCAGAAACACCTACGACACACAGCACTTGACCGACCCAACGAAAGCAAATCGCGAAGATCAGTCGAACGGGGGCTTCGTTTATAGACTCGTGAGGAAGTTTCAGCGAAAGCCCCCCCCTTAGGGGATCCGCGCTCCACTTTGGCAATCCGAGCGGTTCATCGGCAAAATCTATCAGGCATAGCATTTGATGACCCCGAAGGGGACAATCCTGAGGATATATCCAGCGGGGTTTCGTGCGCGAGCGAATTGCGAAAAATTCCCTGGCGGGAGCCCCCTCCCACTGTGTGGGGCCACGCCTCACGTGTGCAATTCGACCGCGTCATCGGAAACATCTGCCAAGAATCGCACCTGAGCACCCCGGAAGGACGAATCGCGAGGCTGTCTTCAGAGGGGTGCCACCTCCGTGATTCAATTGCGAGGAAGTCCCAGGCGCCCCCCCCCCCCCCTACGGGGCCCGCACATTACGTTTGCAACCCGAACGGGTCACCGGCAAACTCTACCAAGAAGCATAACACTTGAACGCTGCTTCCCGCTGCTCGGAAAGAGGAGGCTGTTCCCGCGGGCATGTCGGATGAGCAGTGGTGGCTGCGCCTCTACGTCATGCTCCCCCGCGCCAGTCGCATGTGGAACATGCTGATCCTGCGGCCGCCCACGCGAAGAGTTCCTGGGCCGCGGGCCGCCAGCGTCCCTGCGGAAGACGTTCGGGGAGTTCGACAAGAGAGCGGTGAACTCCAGGAGGGCTGGAGCGGAGCAACTCGCGGTAAAACTGCAGGGTTGTCCCAACGGCTTCCTCCCGCGCCCCAGCGGCTTGTGGGGTTGTCCCAGTGGCCTGGCCCGCGGGGTTGCCCCAACGGCGTCGCGATCCGGCCATCGGAGAACGCACCAATTCTGGCCCGGCGAGGGTGCAACGGAAAATCGGCATGCGTGCCCCGGCCAAAAAGAAGAAGAGGTGCATGAGGACAACAGGCGGGATGGAGATGAGGAAAGGGAAGAAAGAGGAAGATGTGGGACGAGGAGGAGGAAAAGGACAAGGAGGAGGAGAAGGCACGCAACGACGAGGACGAGAACGAGGAGGGGACGGAGGACAAGGAGGAGGAGGAGGCGCAACAGAGGGCGGGAGGAGGGCCTCCGCCAGGGCGAAGAGGAAAAAACGAGGGGCAAACTGAATATATTCTCGGGCGGGGTCCGACCGCCGGACTAATTTCTGAAAACAACTGGTCAAACAACGTTTTATATAAACCAGCAAAAAAACCGGCCCGCTAGGCGCGATCCGTGTGAACTGTGCGTGTGTGCGCGTGTGCCAAAATTTGCCTCTAGACGCCAGCTCACCCAACAACTGGGGAGCCCACCCGCCAGCCAACCAACCAGCCAACCAGCCCTGCCCGGTGCATAATTGTCCAGGATATGTCCCACACCGCTGGGCCCGGATTGATAGAATGACTGCAGGGCGGGGAAGGGAGGAGCGTGACGGAATGGAATTGAATGGAATGGAAAGAATGGACTGGAATTGCATGAAATGGATGGGAGCCGGGCGCGGAGGGACGAGCGGGCGGGCGGGCGGGCGAGCGGGCAGGCGTGCAGACGTGCGGGTAACTGTTTTGTGAGGAGGGAGGGGGGGGGAGGGGGACGAGGGAGGAAGGAGGAGAGAGGAGAATGGATGAGGGAGGAAGAGGGAGGGAGAAGGACGACCCAGAGCCGGAAGCCCGGACCCCTGGGCCCAGGGGGAGTGGAAGAAAGGTGCATCGCGTGCATACCAGTCGGGCCCAGGGGGGGGGGTAGGAGATGGAGGAGGAGGAGGAGGAGGAGGAGGAGGAGGAGGACAAGGAGGAGGAGGAGGACAAGGAGGAGGAGGAGGAGGAGGAGGAGGGCGGAGGAGGGGGAGAAATCACATAAACGGGGGCGAAGACAGGGGCGCCTCTCGTGCACCTTCTGCCTGCCTCCCTCTTGCTCCTCCTTCTCCTCCCTTCCTCCGAGGGGCGCCGCCGCTGTGGGCCTGAGTCGTCTCCTCGAACGGCATGCAACCGCTCCCGTTGATGCCCACGTCGGGGTGAAACCGCCGGCCCCCTCGTCGGGGCGCCCGGCGGCGAGACGCCCCCCTGCGGCCGGCCGCCTTGCAGATGCCCTACCGTTCTGCTCGCTCACCAGACATCTTTGTTTTCGTTTTGCTGTTGGTTGTGGTATACCTGTTTTCCTGTACCTCCCCCTGCCAAAACGAAAACAAGACACAGCCGAAGTCCAGCAAAACAGCGTTTAGGTCCAGCCCTGAAACTCAAGACACATATGTTTGGCAATGTTCTGCCTCTGGAGGCCCTCGCCGGGCCCCGGGAGCGTCAAAAAACGACTCAGGATGCCCAGCCGGTCCTGGGGAAGGTCTCTGGACCTCCAGGGGCCGGCGTTGCGATAAACTCACGACGTCGGATCTGAGGGTTCGCGCTGCCCCGCTGCCCTGGGGCCCGTTCTGCCATCATTCGCGACAGCGCCTGTTAACGCCCCTGGCCCCCGCCCAGTTCTCCTTGCCTCCCCCCCCACGTCACGTCACGCTTTGCGCCGGCGCCGTCTGGGAATTGGCCATTCCTAAGCATTCCCAGACGGAACTGGCGCGAATCGTCACGTGACTAGCCGCCCTTCCTCCCCAGTCACGCCCGTATTGGCCAGAGGATAAAACAATGGTCTGCTGCCTACTCTGTCGCCCATCCCTCCTTCCTTCCTGCTGTGTCTGCTTGGGGGGGGCCACGGCGCAAGGAAACGAAAACACTACACACACAGGGGGGCAATCCGAGCCCGCCTTCGGCAGCATTTCATGGGAGCTTCCCATACCATCTTGACGACCCTTGCGAATCTACGCTCACCGACGCTGGCCAATGCGAATCGACGCTGCATCGACGCCGCATCGACGCCAGCCAGCAATAAACAGGCGCTGCCTCATCGGCTCCCGGACCCTCATCGGCGCTACAGTAGCCGACGCGAAAGACGGAATTCAGAGGGTGCACGAGGCTCCCGCTCCTCCTCCTCCTCCTCCTCCTCCTCCTCCTCCTCCTCCTCCTCCTCCTCCTCCTCCTCCCTGTTTCGTTACGAGCCCTCTGCCCGCTCCAGCCAGCTCTGGGAGCCCCGAGCGAGCCCCAGCCGGGAGGGTCCACGAGAGGCCTGCCTCCGGGGGGCGCCAAGAGGCCGAGCAAGAGGGCCCAGTGAGGTCAACACGGTCAAGGATGGCACCAATGTGAAGGGGCCCAGGGACACACAACACACACACACACACACACAAATCCCAGGGTTCCCCATATTTTCACATATTTGTTGGACGGTCGTCTTCCCCCAACTTCACATAGTTTCCCATATTTTCCTGGGAATCGAAGATCTCTGTGTGCTTTTGTTCCCTCCTGACAATGTGCCTCCAAAACAACTTCAACAACCAACCAGGCGACTACCAGAAACAATGATAGCATCAACATGCTTGACCAGTGGGGGCTCGACCGCAAGACACCTTCCGCAAGAAGCCCAAGCCTGGACCCAGGACGTCCATTGCTTTTTGATGTGGGAGCGTCACGCCTTCCATATCAAAACCATCGAAACCCAAGAAACCCAGAGCGCCCTAGAGGCAAGCAGTGTGTGTCTTGGCATGGGTTTCCAATGTACGGTCCAAGATGGCACCAGTATGCCTGGAAAGCGACCTCAACAACCAACCAGGCGACTACCAGAAGCAGTGATGGCACATATGCTCCAGGAATAAGCCAACACGGCCAAACAAGGAGAACGCAGCTCACAAGATGGCACCGCGAGACCTGGAAACGGGCCGCAAAAGGCCAGCAAGGTCCCAATATGGGTCACCCCAGCAACCCTTGAATCTAAACATGTTGGCATCTCTTCGGCATCCATCTTGGTCTTCCGCCCACCTCGGCCGGATTTTCGCTGGCGGAAGCCCCCCCGTTTTACTCCCGCTGGCTCCCGCCAGCCTCCCGACACCTTCCTTCGACCCTCGAAGACGAAACGATTGTCTGGAACGTCCACTATGGTCCCAGTATAGCCCAAAGAGAGGTTAGCTCAGCCTTCCTTCGACCCTCAAAGACGAAGCCCTTCCTGGAACAGCCGCTACGATCCCAATGTGGGCCATAGAGAAGTGGCAGCGCAGCCATGGGGTGCTGGCGGCAGAAGGAGGCAGCCCTTCCGATGAACAGGGCGGTGTAGTAGTGGATCCGCGGCTCCTGCAGCAGGACCTCTTGTGGCATGACTCATGACCGACAAGATGGGCAGGAGACACATCATATAATAATAATAATAATAATAATAATAATAATAATAATAATGATAATAATAATAACAAACGCAACACACATAGATGTTTGGCGTTCCGCGCAGCTTTCTTGGATTTGCGCTGGACCCCCCTCACTGGCGCGCGGAGCGCGCCAAGGGCGGCGCCGGAGGCGCTGCTAGAGGGTCCTGGCGCGGGTCCGAGAAATCCGCGCGGAGCGCCAAAAGTTTCTGTTCACGCCGCTGTTCTTCTTCGCGATGAGCAGCACGATGCCCACCGCTCGCGCCGTGCACACAAGCACCACGGAGGGTGGCTTGCTGTGTGCGGCCTCCGAGGGCCCTCCCCGGACCCCGGGTCTCTGGGCAGGCTGGAGAGCCAGTCCCCGGGGAGGGGTCCAGACCTGTGGGGCTACGCGTTTCGAAGAAGCAGCACAAGGCATGACCTCGGGGGTCTCTGGGGGCGGGGTCCGAAAACGGCAGCGGCCGCTATTGGGCAGGCGACTCCTCTGTCTCGCAAGGATGACGCCCGCGGCGACACCGACAGCCGACCCTGTTCAGAAGAATGGGCGGGAACTGCTCTCGGTCTTCGCCATCCCCCTCTCGGTACCTCGTATGGCTGGAAACAATACACGTAAACATAAGCTTGCGGAGTGCAGTGCGGATTTGTCGGATCTGCGCTGGAACCCCAGCGCCGCAGGCGCCGCCAGGGGGGCCCTCCATCCAAGATGTCCACGTGGACCTCCACGAGCTTATGCTCCTGCAGCTTTGCCCGCTTCGGACTGCGGTCGTGCGGAACCTCGCAGCGCAGGGCCCGGCCCTGCCAGACAGCCCCCAGCAGACAGCCCAGCCCTGGCCCCCCAAAACGGCCAGGCCTCCCCTCAAAACGGCCAAGCCTGGGCCTTGGTGTGCTGCGGTGTGCTGCGGCGGCGCACAGCCGCAGGGTTCGTGTCGTGGCGACGTCGGCGATGGTTTCTGACACCGCGTGGTGAACGTTTTCTGATTCGGCGTTTCGATATTGGGCGGAAGGGGGAGGGGGGAGGGGGGGGTGTCTGGCTCCGGACCTCTGCTTTATGCGACCGTTTGCAACAGTGCGTCTTATGCGGGAGACTCCACCTGCTCGAAACAGGCGCCCAAAGCAACTAAGATCTACTCCATGGGGAGGAGGGGGGGTACGACGGCCAGCGCCGATCGGAAAAACAATGAAGAAGAAAACGATCACGTGGATCACTCCACCCTTTTTGGTTCTAAACATTGCACGCCCACGAAATCGAAATCCGCCTGCGACATTGCAGGGCTTTTACTCAAAGCAAGCACCACTTTCTGGTATTCATTGTGTGGCGCTGCCTTTCTGCGCGCGCCTGCCTAGGCTTGAAATTCTAAATCCGCGGAACGCGCTCCTGGTATGATCAGGCTGCGCTCCTCGCGGTAATGCTGCGCATCTGGTGAGGCAGATGAGACACATGCACCCTGAACGACTGGCGGCTTGCAGATCACCAGATCGTTCCACATTGGCCGGTACTGTTCTGCGGCAAACTCATGGGAGCCTCTCATATCACGCTCAAACACTCGAATCGACGCTCAAACACTCGAATCGACGCTAGATCGACGCTGATCGACGCTACATCGACGCGAACCGATGCCCATCGACGGTAAATCGGCACTATCTCATCGACTACCATGCGCTGGTCGATGCGAATGCACTCGAAAGACGTCATTACGAGGGTATGCAGGGCCCTTATGACCTGCTACGAGGAGACACTGGGCCGCTGGCGGACTTCAGCCGTCAACGCCGCGACCACCCGCGGCGCGGCCACAGCCGCGCCGACACGACACGAACTGAACGCACTCCCAAGGCGCCCTCCTCAGGCTGCCGACGCGGAGACCCCAGGCCCATGCCACTCCTCCTCCTCCTCCTCCTCCTCCTCCTTCTCCTCCACCTTCCTCCTCCTCCTCCTCCTCCTCCCCCTCCTCCTCCACCCTCCTCCTCCTCCTCCTCCAGCTCCTCCTCCAGCTCCTCCTCCAGCTCCTCCTCCTCCTCTTCCTGCTCCTGCTCATCAGGCTCTCGGGGGTGCTCGCGGGTTTCTTGGATCGGCACTGTGCCCCCCCCCCTCTAGCGCACGGAGCGCACCAGGGGCGGCGCCAGGGGCGCCGCCAGGGGGGGGGGGCCCAGCGCCCATCCACGAAATCCACGCAGGCCTCCGAACCTGCCCGCCGTGGCCAGACCCCACGAACTGCCAGTCCGGACCCCCCCCTTCGCCATCTCCGGATCCCAGACGTCGTGATTCTTCGTGACGTGCACCCTCAGAGGTCTGATCACCTTTCCTGGGACTGGCTTCTCGGCCTGTGGCGAAAAAAAAACTCCTGGATCTCAAGGTCCTTCGCCTTCCCTTATATTGCATCTTCGGGGAACCTCGTCTGTCCCGTCGCGACCGCATCCGCGGCGAATCCGTGTCGAATCCATGTCGGACTCGTCGAATCCGCGTCGAATACACGTCGAATCCGCGTCGAATCCAGGCCGAATCCGAGTCGAGTGCGCCTCGCGTTCGCGTCGGACAAAAGAAAACACATTGTTCCGGGACAGACGAAGTCCCCCGAAGATGCAATGTAACGTACTCTCCTCTTTGCAACACGGCCTTGTACTTCGCCATGCTATCGTCCGCTACCAGCAGCTGGATGAACCGGCTGCTCAGCTCCTGCACTGCGATGACGTCGGCGTCGCACTCCCGCAGGATCCTCGCCACCTCATTCACGCGCGCCTGCCGGGTAACGCGGCCAGGCGAATACAACAAATCGAGCAGGGACGATTCAAACAATCCGCCAGCCCCCCTGTGGGACCATCAGACTGCGGGGCTTAGGCTTGCTGCCCCCGTGCCAGTTCCAGCTTCAAGTTTCCAACGTGATTGTTCAGCTTCTGCTTTCTACTGTAAATTGCTGAAGCTCGCGCGAGGGTGTGTGTGTGTGTGACCCAAACCACCCTCCGGGTGGTCTCAGGATTCCTGAGCGGGTCGTGGGACAACTAAATACGGAAGTTTCGTGCCCCTAATCAAACCCCTACTGTTACGCGATGTACCAAAGCCCGAGGCCATAACTCGTGCAAAGTATTTCAGATTCTCGCCCCCGATGCCATAACCCGTCGACATCTACACGAGATGTGCGTCCCTGAGGCCATAAAACTCGTAACACCAAAACTCAGCATTCGCAAACTACTCCGAATTGCGATCCGTGGTAAATTACATCAGGCACGCGCCCCAAAGCCATCATACAACCGAAAACATTACGCGACATTCGCGTCCCCGAGGCGATGATACAATGTGTGTGTGCCCGAATCCACGACTTTTGTAAATGACAGTAATCGTGTCGTCGAGGCCACCACCCCTAGCACATGACATAACATTCGCGTCCCCGAGGTCACGCTCCTTAATGAATTATGCCACACTTGCGTCCCCCAAGCCATCATCATGTGGCACAAAACGCCAGATTGGCGTCCCCGTACGTTAAGCCCCTTTGGGGTATCCGAAACCACGATCCCACGTACATTACGCTGCATTCGCGCCCACGAGACCCCGATATCTTGCAAATGTAGCAGTATATCGCTGCTGAAGAATAATTACCTAACAGCGAAGATGATAGGCTTCTAGTGGAGTCAAAAGAGAGCATCATGACTCCCCAGGGGGGTCTGGGCAGATGCCGGACGGGTGCCGCGGGAATCAGGGAACTCCGTTTTAGCCAACAGTAACGCACTTCGTGGTCTTCGAGTTCCCAGAACTCCATTCCCGGGCATGATTTTGAATGCCCAGAGCCAACTGCAGGCCACTTCGTGTTCTTCGAGTTCCCAGAAATCCATTCCCGGGCCACATTTTTGAATGCCCGGAGCCAACTGTAGGCCACTTCGTGGTCTTCGAGTTCCCAGAACTCCATTCTGGGCATGATTTTGAATGCCCAGAGCCAACTGGAGGCCACTTCGTGTTCTTCGAATTCCCAGAACTCCATTCCCGGGCCACATTTTGAATGCTGAGGAAGGCTGATGCTGAGGCTGAGGCAGGCTGAGGCTGAGGCAGGCTGAGGCTGAGGCCGAGGTTGAAGGCAGACTGAGGCTGAGGCTGAAACAGGCTGAGGCTGAAGCAGGCTGAGGCTGAGGCTGAGGCTGAGGCAGGCTGATGCTGAGGCAGGCTGAGGCTGAGGCTGAGGCTGAGGCAGGCTGAGGCTGAGGCAGCCTGAGGCTGAGGCCGAGGCTGAAGGGAGACTGAGGCTGATGCTGAGGCAGGCTGAGGCTGAGGCTGAGGCTGAGGCTGAGGCAGGCTGAGGCTGAGGCTGAGGCAGGCTGAGGCTGAGGCAGCCTGAGGCTAAGGCTGAGGCTGATGCAGGCTGAGGCTGAGGCCGAGGCTGAAGGCAGACTGAGGCTGAGGCTGAAGCAGGAGGCTGAGGCTGAGGCAGGCTGAGGCTGAGGCTGAGGCAGGCTGATGCTGAGGCAGGCTGAGGCTGAGGCTGATGCAGGCTGAGGCTGAGGCAGGCTGAGGCTGAGGCCGAGGCTGAAGGCAGACTGAGGCTGAGGCTGAAGCAGGCTGAGGCTGAGGCTGAGGCTGAGGCTGAGGCTGAGGCTGAGGCAGGCTGAGGCTGAGGCTGAGGCTGCAGGCTGAGGCTGAGGCAGGCTGGCTGAGGCAGGCTGAGGCTGAGGCTGATGAGGCTGAGGCAGGCTGAGGCTGAGGCTGAGGCTGAGGCAGGCTGATGCTGAGGCAGGCTGAGGCTGAGGCTGAGGCTCATGCAGGCTGAGACTGAGGCCGAGGCTGAAGGCAGACTGAGGCTGAGGCTGAAGCAGGCTGAGGCTGAGGCTGGGGCAGGCTGAGGCTGAGGCTCAGGCAGGCTCAGGCTGAGGCAGGCTGAGGCTGAGGCTGGCGCTGAGGCAGGCTCAGGCTGAGGCTGAGGCTGAGGCCGAGGCTGCAGGCAGACTGGGGCTGAGGCTGAAGCAGGCTAAGGCTGAGGCTGAGGCAGACTGAGGCTGAGGCTGAGGCTGAGGCAGGCTGATGCTGAGGCAGGCTGAGGCTGAGGCTAAGGTTGATGCAGGCTGAGGCTGAGGCATGCTGAGGCTGAGACCGAGGCTGAAGGCAGACTGAGGCTGAGGCTGAGGCAGGCTGAGGCTGAGGCTGAGGCAGGCTGAGGCTGAGGCTGAGGCAGGCTGATGCTGAGGCAGGCTGAGGCTGAGGCTGAGGCTGATGCATGGTGAGGCAGCCTGAGGCTGAGGCTGAGGCCGAGGCTGAAGCCGAGGCTGAAGGCAGACTGATGCTAAGGCTGAAGCAGGCTGAGGCTGAGGCTGAGGCAGGCTGAGGCTGAGGGAGGCTGAGGCTGAGGCTGAGGCTGAGGCTGAGGCTGTGACTGCGGCTGCCGTTGCCACTGCGACTGTCATCCCGAATGCGACTACGACTGCGAGAACAGCAGAATTCTACAACTGGATTATCATCTGAATCTTAAGGGGAATGCTTCCAAATATGCTCCTACACATCGCTGTTAGGTTGCTTTGCCGGGATACTGATGAACCTTCCGTAGTGTGTTTTTACGGCTCGATGGGAGATTCAACATCCGCTCAACATGGATGCCTAGACCCCTGCAGGGGCCCAAACGCAAAAATTGTTCGAGCTGCGTCCAGCCGTGGCGACGAAGAGGGCCACCGCAGGCTCAAAGGCTTCGAACCTCGATCCTCGAGGTTCGAACCTCGAGGCCCCTGGGGGCCTGGGGACGCAGACGTGCCGAAGATTGACAGAGACCGCCCGTCGCGCTCTTTGCTCACGACCCGAGGGGGTGTGGATCCACATTGACAGCGTCGTGCTCTTTGCCCACGACCCGAGGGGGTCTGGATCCACCGCCGGAGCGCCTCCTCCACGTTCCTGGACGACACGTTGAAGGTCGCCACCCGCAGCGTGCCCGGCTCGCGCGGCGGGATCTCGCCCTCTCCGTCGGCACCGTCCGCGTCGGGGGACCCGGGCACCGGGGCCTTGGGCCGCGGGGCCTGCGGGGAGGGGGGGGGGAGGGAGGGGGAGGGGCGGTGGCGCTGCAGTCCGCCCGCACAGTGAGGAGGGAACGGCTTTCCAAGGTTACCCTGGCACCCGTGTCCCTTCGGCCCATCCTTTGGCCACCTTCGCTGGCCGCGCCCCGCTCGAAAAGTGTCGAGATGGCCGTCCGCAGAATGTCGACATGGTCGTCCGCTCGTCAAGTGTCGCTTGCCGCTTTCGCTGGCCGCGCCCCACCCGCACCAGCAGAGTGTCGACATGGCCCTGCAGGGCCCTTGCATCCGCATCGTGCGTCCTGATTGCACGGGTTGACCGCGTGGCGAAAATGGCGAACGTCGTCTTATTCGGCGATTCGACATTGGGCGGAACGGGGGGGGAGGGGGAAGTCAGGCTCCAGACCTCTGCTTACCGCATCTGTTTGCAACAGTGCGCCCCATGGGGGAGACCCCAACTGGTCGAAACAGGCGCCCAAAAAAACATCCGATATTTACTCAGGGGGGGGGAGGGGAGGGGGGGAGGGGGGCGAGGTCCCGCGCCGATCGGCAAAACAAAAAAACACACACAAACGCTCACATGCGGCTCTTTGGTGCTCGCCTGGCCACATCACCACAATCACCGAGCGAGAAGCAGTCCCGACGTTGCTGGGGGCCCTCTGCCGAGGCGATCCACGGCCTCCAGCCCTTGGCGGGCGGCCTGCTGCCAGGGGGCTCGCGGAGCCGCCTTGTGCTGCTCACAGCAGGACACCAGCAGTAACAAACAAGACGGCACGCCAACGAGAATCTCGAAGTGGGGTGGGAATGAGGGAAGGAGGGAGGGAGGGAGGAAGAGGCAAGAGAGGGAAAGGGGAGGACAAATTATGTGCGCTCGCGTCATATCTGACGTCCTACCCCTCCCTCCCATCCCTTACCATGGCGTTGATTTTCTCTATCCGCGGACGCGTGTCGTAGCGAACCTGTGGTTCCGCGCGCGTGTGCGTAGTGGGTGGTGGTGCGCGTGCGTGCGTGCGTGCGTGTGTGCGTGGTTGCGTTTGTGGTTGTGGTTGTGGTTGTGGTTGTGGTGGTGGTTTTTGCTGCCATACGCACACGCGGCGCCCAGCGCAAACACGCAGCACGAGGGGCCCCACCGCACAGCAGCGCGATGGAACGTTAAAAACACACCTGAAAGAGGCCCAAGCGCCCACCCCCGCCAAGCAGAGGATCCCGGCAGGCAACGACAGGAGCTGAAACCAGCGGGGCAGCTTACCCACACGCTCCGACTGCGTCCAGGAGCGCCGCGGGAAACACAGCACAGTGCAGGAAAACAGGCCTGCCGCCAGCAATGCACAAAAACGGATCGGAAGCTAAAACGCCGCCCAGCTACCCTGCATGGCGGCCGAGTTTCAAAACGACCACCATGGGATGGTCGACAGGAAGGGGTATGGGCTCTGGGATCCGCTTCTTCGTGAAAGGATCGGTGCCATTGACGAATTGGTCTCGGCGAGTGCGCCGAGAGGAAGAACCCGCCTCCGGGCGCAGGACTTCGGGCTCGCAGGTTCCCATGAGGAGCCCACGGCCAGAGCGACCGATCGCGCCACAAGCTATACAACAAACGAGTCCATCCGAAACCTGCATGCGATGACTCCGAGCTGCCCCCGGAGGCACGGAACCGCTGGTGGGCAGGGGGGCCTGCGAGGTGACGTCCACCTCCGCGCGCTTCACACCCCCTGGGGCACGGGATCGCTTGACAACCTCCTGCGCGTTGTCAGCCGCGCTGGAGGAAGCGGCGCGCTTCCTCCCGGTTGCGCTCACAGGGTCCGCGGCCGACCTCCTGGGTTCGCCGTCGCGCGGAGCAGCGGACTCCATCCGCGGCACTGCGGCGGCAGGATTAGCGGAAAACAAGCTCGCTGCGGAGCTCGAACTGGCTGCTGCACTGGACACTGCCGCAGCGGCCGCAATTAACGCGGCGCCCGCTGTAAGGGCCCCGGGCTGCGTTGCGGTGGCCGGGCTAACCTCCGCTGATTCTGCAAAACGCACCCGCCTGGCCGGAGGGCCGTCGCCGCCAGAGGCCCGCTTGAGCGAGCTCGGCAAGGCCACGGGCAACGAAGCTGGAGCGGCTGTGGCAGAGACATCAGTAGGCGACGCACCGAGTCGCGGCATCTTCGGCGCCCTGGCATCGCCCATCGACTCTGCGGCAGCCGGAGCCGAAGCACGGGAAGAACTCGAAGTCGAGCTGCTAACGACATGTTCAATGGGCCCCCGCCGACTGGGAGGACGAGCGTCATCGCCGCGACGATCCAGATCATGCTCCTGGGTGGCCGGAGGCGTCGCTGAAGAGCAGCGGCCGTACTTGTCCTCGATGCCCGACGCCTGGGAACGCAGGCTGTCCTCATCAGCCGCTCCCGGCCCTTGATGGTGCAGGCCTTGCGCGGACAATACTGACACCGCCACCAGCCATGAACCATGTAAAGACAATGTTGGGCGCAGGCAGGGGTCGGCCGTCGGACGGTCGGCCGCTGGCGCCGCGGCCGGCGGCGAGGCGCGGCAGGGCGATCGCGCGGCAGAGCTCCGACCGCCATGCCAGCCGACTGAGAGGCCAGCCAACACGCCACCTGGCGAACGTCGCGGAGGCGCTCCCGCACAACGTTCACGATGTCGGCGGGGATAGCGTGCGCCTGCTGGCCCAGCTTGGCGACGGTGTCGGCCCAGTCGTTGCCGCGTCGATGGAGGCCCTCCCCAGTCTGGTGGCCCTCAACGTGCACGAACGTAACGCCGTTGCCGATGTCATCCAGCTTCCACCAGATGCGAGTCCATAGATCTCGGTTGGCGCGTGCTGGGTGCAAACACCAGTCCTTGCCCCGAGCGATGCCGCTAACCAACTCCAGGTGATCAGCGTGCACGACGGCAGGGGGGACCACGACGGACAAGACGCACAAACCGGCGAATAGCTCCGCTCGTGGGGACGACTGGATCGGACCGGGCAGTGGACCAGAATACCCACCCTTCAGCCGGCCCTCGGAATCGAAGATCGCCATGCCCCAGCCAGCACGAGCAAGCAGGGGATAGTACCACAGTGATCGGCAACTACCGTCACAATAAATGTTGCCAGTGACCGTGAACCCAGAGCCATAGCCCTCCAAGTGTAACCAAACACCTGAATCGTCACGGGCAGGTGGAACGGGGAGTTCTGAGCGAGGGAGAAGGGCACGATAATAGAACATGTCCATGTCCGACGCCTGCGCGGCCTTGGCAATGATCGCCGCGTCCACCGCCATGGCGCGCTCGCACGCCGAATTGGGGCAGCAGAAACCACGGTGCCGGAGAGAACCAACCTGCCCGCACACGTCACACAGTGAGGTATCCTGGTACCCATAGCGCCACATTCGAAGAGGACTCCAGTGAGCGCCGGTGGCGATGGAGCGGAGGGCTCCCTGCGCCAGGATCGTCAGCGGCCACTTCGTGCGAGGCCGTATGGAGAGCAGCGAGCGGAGCGGCTCCATCCAAAAACCGCTGGTGGCGCGCTGGGTGCCTGGCACTTCCGGCGCAGTGTCCGAGCTTTCTGCCCAGGCCGCCCACATAGCATCGGCTGCGCCCCTGTAGGCCAGCTTCTTGATCGTGGACGGGGCCTCGACGCGCAAGTCGAGCAGCTCCCCAGATCGAGTGCGCCACGAAAATGCCGAAGTAGAAATCCAGCCAATCTGCTTGCCCGCCAAGATGGCCGCGCCTGCAGGGCCACGCACGGCAGACCATAGGCGCTGAGCCGACAACACCACGAAGACTTGACCGCGCCAGGCCAGTTTCATGTCCTCGTCCAGGAACCGGGAGTGCGCCCGGGCGGTCCCTAGAGGCGCCCAAGATGCCTCCAAGAGGCCCCCAAGAGGCCTTAAGTGGCTTCAAGATCCCCGAGGCACCCAAGACGCTCTAATACGGCCCTGGGCTCGAAACGATGCCCCTCCTCCTCCTCCTCCTCCTCCTCCTCCTCCTCCTCCTCCTCCTCCTCCTCCTCCTCCTCCCTCCTCCTCCCTCCTCCTCCTCCTCCTCCTCCTCCTCCTCCTCCTCCTCCTCCCACTCCCACTCCGCCTCCTCCCCCTCCCCCTCCCTCCCCTCCTCCCTCCTCCTCCCTCCTCCTCCTCCTCCTCCTCCTCCTCCTCCTCCTCCTCCTCCTATTTGTGCACTGTCTATTGTTCATTGCTCCTCTTCGCCCTCCTCCTTCTTCCCGTCCCTCTCCTCCACCATCCTCCCCCTCTTGGGGTATCGGACGGCTTCCCCCAGCCATTATTATTCTGCATGCTCCCCCACTTCCCTGATCAACTCAACTCCCCTGGCTATCGTTTCTGGATGGACTGGTGGGGGTATTTGTTCGTCAGCGGCCGCAGGCGAGCGCGCCAGCGGCGAGTCCAGTCAAAGCGGGGCACGCAGCGACAAATTCACCTAAAGCAACGGGGCGCAGCCTCACCTAAAGCGGCTAGGCGGAGCCTCACGCAGCACCTCAGCGGCGCACCAGCGAGGGGAAGGGGCTGGCTGAAACAGAGTCGTACTGCCAGCGTGCAAATATGCAAGACGTCGGAAGCGTCGCTGGTGGGGATATGTTTTGATCTGCGGCTCCAAGGACGATTCCAGAGAGCGGGTCGTAGCTGGTGGGGATACGCGAAACGTCAACAGTTAGAGTTCTCATGGCCAGGTATAACCAGCCACAAATCGTATCGTCATTCCGTCGCGAACAAACGCAACTCTCGGCTAGCTGAATTTCAACGAATTACTTAAGGCCCTGCCACGGTTCCAATACGTACAAACAGTTCCATTACTGTACTGTATGTTGGATACGTATGTGTTTCTGGCAAAGTCGCACATAAGCAACAGTGAAGAGAGTCGCCCAAAGTCCTTGTACATCGGCTAGGTCCCAAAGGCCGCAACCAGAAGGAACATATCACAACTGGTTGCGACCGCTACCAACTAGTCGGGATCGGTCCCTACTGGTTGCGACTGGGGGAGACAGGAAGGGGAGGAGAAGGAAGGGAGGAGGGGAAGGAGGTAGAGAGGGATGGGGGAGGGAGAGGAGGGGAAGGAGGAGGAGGAGGAGGACGAGGAGGGGAAGTATGGGGAGGGATAGAGGGAAGAGGGAGAGGAGGGCGGAGGAGGAGGAGGAGGAGGAGGAGGAGGAGGAGGAGGAGGAGGGATGAGATCACAATCAGAGGGAGAGGGGAGGAACGGGAGGGAGGAGGGATAAAGAGGGAAGAGGCCCAAAGATCCGACGACGCGACGAAATTCATACCGTGAGCAATCACGACCAGAGCCAATTCTTCTACATCTCTTGGCGGACCGGCCGAGTCACCATCTTGTTGCTGCATTCTTCGAGCCGCATCGATCTGTTAGAGTCCTGGGGGCCGAAATGGTGCGCAAACGCTTGATTCGAACAAACATGCGACGCCAAGACCTCAAGCTCGGCCCAGCCCCTCTCAAGCTTCCGGGTCACAACTCGGCTCTCCGGCGGCTGTTCGGGACAATCCGGGCACCCTCGGAACGCTCTCGGCGAGGTGCAGCTGCCGGAGAGCATCCCGAGGCTCGAAAACCGCCGAGACCCGACGAAGTGCACTAGCGGCGCGCACGAGGGGGTAAGGCTCTAGCGCGCGAAATGATTTAAGAGGCTGCTTCTTAGAAGGCGCGGGCCTCATATCTATAGACTATAGATGAGGCCGGCCAACTCCTTCTAAGGAGCAGCCTTCTTCTACGAAGCCTTCCCCCCCTCCACCTACCCCCTTCTGCGCGTGGCCAGACGAGGAGGAAGGCACGGAGAGCAGGAGGAGGAGGACGTCAAGAGGTGGTGAAGGAGGAGGAGGAGGAGGAGGAGGAGGTGGAGGGTGAGGAGGAGGAGGAGAGGGTGAGGAGGAGGAGGAGGAGGAGGAGGAGGAGGAGGAGGAGGAGGAGGACGACGACGACGTCATGGATCTCAAAGGGGGGGGGAGGGGGGGCGGCGGGAGGGCAGGAGGGGAAAGGCACCTGCCGATCGGGCCTACCGCTCTTGCTGCAGGCACGCCCGGGGAAGGGCGCGGTGACCGCTCCTGGACGGGCACCACCGCCCCCTCGGGCCTACGGCGCCCCGAGGAGGGAGGAGGAGGGAGGAGGAAGGAGTAGGAGGAAGGGGGAGGGAGAGGAGGAGGCGGAGGAGGTAGGAGGAGGGAGCAGGAGGAGGGGGAAAGGGAGGGAGGAGGGGGGAGGGGGAGGGAGAGGAGGAGGCGGAGGAGGGAGGGGGGAGGAGGAGGGAGGAGGAGGAAGGAGGGGTGAGAGGGTCTGCCTCCGAGGAAGCAGGTCGAAGAGGGGAAGGGAGGAGGAAGAGGGGGAAGCTGAGGAGAAAAGATAAGGCGCCTCTCCACGCCTCTCCCTGCCCTGGCCCGGCCTGCCCTGCCCTGCCCTCTTGCCGTCCCTCCCCTCTCCCTGCCTTGCACGGCCTGCCACCCACCCCCCCTCATTTCTCGACCGTCCTCTTCTTACCCAGACCCCCTCGAGTCACGACAAAAACATGACGGCAGGCTGTTCGCTATTTTTCGGCCTCTGGGGGCCCTTGCCCGGCCTCGAGATTGTCAGCAGAACGACTCAAGCTGCGAAGCCGGTCCCAAAGCATGGGGCGAGACTCCCAGGGGTCGACGTCATGACAAATCATGACGTCTGGTCCTCGAGTCCGCCCGGTGTGGGCCAGAGCCCCTCCTCCGTGACGCTCTGCACCCCTCTGACCACACAGCCTCCTCCGGCTGTGGCCACACACCAAGAGAGCCGATGCTGCCCCCAGACCCCCGACGTTACTAGAGGCCTCCTAGATGGGGTCCGCGTGGATGGGGTCGGAAGATGTCGCCGCATCGCCGGTGCATCGGCGATGCATCGGCGATGCATCGGCCGCGCACTTGTGACGTCGGCGAAACATCCGCGACTTCGGCGTGGAGCAAATTGGGCCCCACGTCGAGCCGCATCGCCAGTGCATCGGCGATGCATCGGCGATCCTCCGACCCGATCTACTCCGACCCTATCGAGGAGGCCTAGAGTCATGATTTGTCCATAACGTCGACTCCCATAGGTCGGGGCCGTTTTTTGTTCTGGATCGTTTCGTGAAGGTCCCGAGGGCCCCATGAGGGCCCCAACATGCTGAAAACGACCGAGCGCCCACAGTCGTAGTCTGTTCATGACCCGAGGGTGTCTGGGTCTCGTGCCAGGGCTGGGCAGGTGCACCCCCGCAGAGCATTGCTGCACTACTGCCAGACACCACTCCTCGGCGCCTCAGGCGCGCGGGTTCTGGCCTGGTGGCGCTGTCCAGCGAAGGGGGAGAGGAAGCGACGCCAAGACTTCAAGGCCGTGTGCTCAGAGTGCCTTCTTCCAGGCGGGGTCCAGCCCAGACGGCGGCGGCGCTGGTGCGCCTGCAGGCTGCTCCCAGCAGAGCTCCTGGCATGCTGCGCGCAGGGACTCCATCCTCCAGCGGCGAGGGTCCCGGGGCCCGAAATGCTGCGAACGCGCCCGGCCTGAACAAATTGCATCGCCCAGCTGAGCAAGGGCTCCCAACTTCGCGCTTCGCGCTGCGCGAAGCGCGAAGCGCGAATAACTTCGCGCTCTCGCGCCGCCCTCCCAAAGGGAGAATAGGAGGACGAGGAGGAGGGGGAGAAGGAACGAGGACCGCGAAGCGCGAAGCGCGAATAACTTCGCGCCCTCGAGGGAGCCCTTGAGGTCCCGTCCAGACGGCGGCGCCAGGGGTGCGGATGCAGGCCCCTCTCCAGCGGAGCCCTTGGCATGCCGTGCGCCACGCGAACAGGAGCCTCTGCGGACCTCCGCGGCCCTGTCATCCACGTGATGTCGATCTGCTGTCGTCCAGATTTTTCGACCGCCCTTCGTCACCCTTTCGTCCAGACCTCGTCCAGATGTCGACCACATCCGACGACGCCCGCACGAACCCCCCCAGACTGCAAGGGGATTTGTGGGACCCTCCGAGGCTGCCGTGAAGGCTCCCCGTTGCCAGGATCTGAGGGTCCACCGACGCCGCCGCAGGCGCCGCCGCCGCCGCTGGTCGCCGCCGCTGGTCGCCGCCCGTCGTCGCTGGGCGGCTGCCGCGCCGCGCCTTGCAGCCCATGGGCCCCGTGCCCCCGCACTCCTGGTTGCCACCCCTGGGGTCGGGGGTGCTCCGAGGGAGGCCTGGCGCCGCGGTGTGCCCCCCCCCCCTCGCCCCGCCGTTTCCTCCCTACCACCTCTACCTCATGATCCTCAGTCCTCCTCCTCCTCCTCTTCCTCCTCCTCCTACTCCTCATCCTACTCCTCGTCGTCGTCGTCATCATTACCAGCAGCATCACCAACACCCGCATCATCATCATCATCATCATCATCATCATCATCATCATCATCATCATCATCATCATCATCATCATCATCATCATCATCATCATCATCATCATCATCATCATCATCATCAACATCAACATCAACATCATCATCATAATCAGCAGCAACATCATCAACATCAACAGCATCAGCATCAGCGTCATCAGCATCATCAGCATCATCATGATCATCATCATCAACAACAACAGCAGCATCGTCATCATCATCATCATCATCATCATCATCATCATCATCATCATCATCATCATCTGCATCATCATCATCATCATCATCATCAGCATAATCAGCATCATCATCATCAACTGCAGCATCGTAATCATGATCAGCATCGTCATCATCATCAGCATCATCATCAGCATACTCATCATCGCCATCGTCATCATCATCATCGTCAGCATCATCGACACAATCAGTAACATCATCATCATCATCATCAGCATCATCGTCATCGTTATTGTCATCATGATCATCCGCATCATCATCTGCATCGTCATCATCATCATCAACATCAGCATCAACACCGTAACAATCATCATAATCAGCATCATCATAATCGTCATCACCATCAGCAATAGCACCAGCATCTCCATCGTCATCAACATCGCCATCATCATCATCATCATCATCATCATCATCATCATCATCATCATTATCATCATTATCATCATCATCACAACCTCCCCGTCCCCTGTGGGGCTCCGACGGATGACAATCGATGTCGATACCTCCGCGCGGACCCTTCTCCCCCGGGGGTGGGGAGGGCGCTCTGACCAGGGCCTTCCGCGGCGCATTTCTGGCCGTGGCCACGAGGAAGGGGCAGCGGCATCAGCATCTTCAAACAATGGACATACGAAGAATAGCAATCAACAGCAGCGTACAAAAGAAGAAAAACAGAAATTCAACTAATCATACGAACAACAATAAGACGAAGACGAACAAGAAGACGAATACGAACGAGAAAAAGAGTCAGAAGAAGAAACAGAAGAAAACTAAGAAAACGAATAAGTCAATCCATAAGAATAAGAAGAAGAAACATGACAATAATAATGAGAAGAAGACGAAGAAAACACATCACCAACGGCGAAATCGTGCACTTTGGACGGTCCGCGCGCATGCCTTGGATCGGCGCTGGGCCCCGTCCTTCTCTGGCGCGCTCTGCCGGGGCAGCGCCCGAGAGGCCCCATCCAGGCGGGCCCAGGAGCCAAGAGAATCCGCCCGGACCCTGGAACGTGTGCGATTGTCTCGTCATGCCTTTTCCGGTACTCCCCCCTCCCCCCGCCCTCCACGAGGGAGGGGTGCAATCAAAGATGGGTGCCCTCTCTGGGTCTTCCCCTTCCCCCACCCGGCACAAGGGGGGGGGGGCGGCGTCGGCAGTCCAAAGCTGGGGCCCCGCGGGGTGGGGCCCTGGGTATGGCAGGCTCGTACGGCGTCGGCGCGCGCGCGCCAAACATTGGGACGCCGCGTCGATCGATCCACCTGGAACCGGTTGCTCTCCTCCTCCTCCTCCTCCTCCTCCTCCTCCTCCTCCTCCTCCTCCTCCTCCTCCTCCTCCTCCTCCTCCTCCCCCTCTGGATCGCGGCCCCGCTCGTTCGGGGCTGAATGCGGCCGGCTCCACTGGCGTCACCGTGGCCTTCGGCGCTGCCGCGGCGCAGAAGCCCACCTGGAACGCCCTCGCCGGCGTCGCCGGCGCGCCAAAGCCGCACAGACCCACCGTGCTTGAGGCCTCTCTCGTCCTGAAGGCCCGACAGGTGGAGGGACTACAGCAGGGACCCTTCCACAAGAAGCCTTCGATAAGAAACCAAACCCTGAGACCCCAGGATTTCTGGTGCGGGAAAGTCACGATTCTCACAAGAAAACCATCGAAACCCAGGAAACCCAGGGCACCCCGGAGGCAAGCAGGGTGTTTCTTGGCATGGGCCTCCACTGTAAGACGTACTGATACCGTCACTCCCCAGACACCTCCCAGGGGGCCGTCTGACCAGGATTAGGTCGGGCATGTCCTTCTACAGGCGGCTTCTGGAATACATATGAATTACGCTACCGAGGAACCCCACATACTGATTTTATGTCTTGTGTGAACCGCGCTAACACTACCACCGCCGTCATGCTCTCAGGTGCCCCCTGTGGTCGTTGAAAGGAGGGGGAGGACGTGTGGGGGGAGAGGAGGGGTTGAGGAGTCATCTGTGACGGTCATATCCTGCGTCGCCTGGCACTTGGATACGAAAGGTAATACGCAATCCCGCACTAGAGGCTATGCCTGGACGACCCTGGCACGCATAGGGAGACCACCCCCTGCGCACCCCCTCTGGTGTTGAGAAAGAGCCACGCCTGCAATGCCTGGACGACCCTGGCACGCATAGGGAGACCACCCCCTGCGCACCCCCTCTGGTGTCGACAAAATGCCACGCCTGCTATGCCTGGACGACCCTGGACGCATAGGGAGACCACCCCCTGCGCACCCCCTCTGGTGTCGAGAAAATGCCACGCCTGCAATGCCTGGACGACCCTGGCACTCATAGGGAGACCACCCCCTGCGCACCCCCTCTGGTGTCGAGAAGCTGCCACGCCTGCATGCCTGGACGACCCTGGCAGAGACCACCCCCTGCGCACCCCCTCTGGTGTCGAGAAAATGCTGCATGCCTGGACGACCCTGGAGACCACCCCCTGCGCACCCCGGTGTCGAGAAAATGCCACGCCTGCTATGCCTGGACGACATAGGGAGACGCACCCCCTGGCGCAAAACCACCCCCTGCGCACCCCCTCTGGTGTCGACGACCCTGTGCCACGCCTGCGAGATGCCTGGCCTGGACGACCCTGGCACGCATAGGGAGACCACCCCCTGCGCACCCCCTCTGGTGTCGAGAAAATGCCACGCCTGCAATGCCTGGACGACCCTGGCACGCATAGGGAGACCACCCCCTGCGCACCCCCTCTGGTGTCGAGAAAATGCCACGCCTGCTATGCCTGGACGACCCTGGCACGCATAGGGAGACCACCCCCTGCGCACCCCCTCTGGTGTCGAGAAAATGCCACGCCTGCAATGCCTGGACGACCCTGGCACGCATAGGGAGACCACCCCCTGCGCACCCCCTCTGGTGTCGAGAAAATGCCACGCCTGCTATGCCTGGACGACCCTGGCACGCATAGGGAGACCACCCCCTGCGCACCCCCTCTGGTGTCGAGAAAATGCCACGCCTGCTATGCCTGGACGACCCTGGCACGCATAGGGAGACCACCCCCTGCGCACCCCCTGGTGTCCCACGCCTGCAATGCCTGGACGACCCTGGCACGCATAGGGAGACCACCCCCTGCGCACCCCCTCTGGTGTCGAGAAAATGCCACGCCTGCTATGCCTGGACGACCCTGGCACGCATAGGGAGACCACCCCCTGCGCACCCCCTCTGGTGTCGAGAAAATGCCACGCCTGCTATGCCTGCCGACCCTGGCACGCATAGGGAGACCACCCCCTGCGCACGCCCACGCACGAGGGAGACCACCCCCTGCGCACCCCCTCTGGTGTCGAGAAAATGCCACGCCTGCTATGCCTGGACGACCCTGGCACGCATAGGGAGACCACCCCCTGCGCACCCCCTCTGGTGTCGAGAAAATGCCACGCCTGCTATGCCTGGACGACCCTGGCACGCATAGGGAGACCACCCCCTGCGCACCCCCTCTGGTGTCGAGAAAATGCCACGCCTGCTATGCCTGGACGACCCTGGCACGCATAGGGAGACCACCCCCTGCGCACCCCCTCTGGTGTCGAGAAAATGCCACGCCTGCTATGCCTGGACGACCCTGGCACGCATAGGGAGACCACCCCCTGCGCACCCCCTCTGGTGTCGAGAAAATGCCACGCCTGCTATGCCTGGACGGCCCTGGCACGCATAGGGAGACCACCCCCTGCGCACCCCCTCTGGTGTCGAGAAGATGCCACGCCTGCTATGCCTGGACGACCCACCCTAGCACGCATAGGGAGACCACCCCCTGCGCACCCCCTCTGGTGCGGCGCGGCAGGGAAGAAAACCAGAACCCCACGAAGTGAGGTGAGTGTCGCGGGTGCGGCGCGGCAGGGAAGAAAACCAGAACCCCACGAAGCATGTGGGGAAAAATATGTACAAACGTCTCCACAATAGCCAAAAGTAGTCATCAAATCGTCCCCAGACTAGTCTTTGACTAGTTTCGAAGATTCCTCCTGTAGAGGGGCATGCCCGACTTAGACCAGAATCTCGAGGCAGATCTGGCCGTGGTGGCGAGGGATCTCCAGGGCGAGCATCGGCATTTATGTATGTTCCTCATGTGCCCCCAACCCAAACTTTGAACCGCCGATGGGCGGGGCGAACAAGGGGAAACCAAAAGATACTGACACCGCTACTCACTGGACCTCTCCCAGGGTACGTGTTGACAAAGATCTCGAAGAGACGAGAGTCACCCAGAAGGCCTCCAAAAGCAAAAACAACGAAATGGTCCCAGCATCCGCATACTTTCCTCATCTGGGGATTTGAGAAACATATACGTACCCATACCGCTACTCCCTGGACCTCTCCCCGGGCGCGTTCAGAACACGATTTCGAGGGCACCGCAGCCGTGGCGACGAGGGCTGTCCAGGACGAGAGCCGCCATCGGTATCTGTCCTTTCCTCCCCAGCGTTGGACCGCAGAGGGGCAGAGGGAGGGGGGGGGCCAACGAGCGCCGCGGCTCCCTCGGTGAGCCCCCCATGCCTGTTGCGGAACCCGCAGTCGCACGTCCACCACTCCTGGAGGCCTCCCAGGTGGGGTCTGGGCAGGCGCGATCGGGGAACCGCACCGCATCGACGAGACACCGCCGATGCATCGGCGATGCACCGGCGACGTCGGCGATGCCTCGGCGACGTCGGCGTGGAGAAAACCGGGCTTCACAGTGCAGATGCACCGCGATGCATCGGCGATGCGGCGCGACCTTCCGACCAGATCCACTCGGACCCCACTTGGGAGGCTCGGGCGTTGCTTCACGGGAGGGCGACACAAGAAGAGAGGGGGGGAGAAGCGTGCCCCTTTGGGGGCCCTCAAGGAGCCCCTCTGGGGCACAAAAGGTGCACATTCCTTTGGAGAAGAGCAAACGCCATAAACATCAAGGTGTGGCGCTCCGCTCTGATTCCTTGGATCTGCGCTGGACACCCCTCCCTGGAGCGCAAAAGCGCTTCAGGGGCGGCGCAGGAGGCGCCGCTGGGAGGGCCCAGCGCGGATCCAAGGAATCCGCGCGGAACCAAAAGTGTATGTTTATGCCGTTTATTCTTCTTCGAGTCTTCACCCCCCCTTGGCGGCGCGCAGAGGGGGGTAGAGGGAGGGGAGAAGGCTTCCTAGGAGGCTGCTCCTTAGAAGGCGCGGGCCTCACATCTGCAGACGAGACCCACGCCTTCTAAGAAGCAGGGTGCTTCTACGAAGCCTTCCCCCCTCCCCCTCCCCCCCTCTGCGCGCGGCCGCCCCCCCCTTCCCCCGACCTTCCAGAGTGCTAAAAAACACTCCAGACCTACAGATCTATCTGGACTGCCTAAAACCTGGACGGCAAATTAGGACGTCGACGTTCTCGTGCTTCTTTCTAGCCCTCCTGGAAGGTCGGGGTCATCGCCCCCCCTTGCACAGCGCCCGAGAGGCTTGGGCCTGCGCCGCCACGGGCCGCCCCAGCGGGCCCGCGCCCGCGCACCCGCCGAAGGGCAGCGGCTGCGGCGGCCGCCACGGCTGCTGCGCGCCGGGCGGACCGCCGAAGGGCGAGGCGCCGCCGAAGGGCGAGGCGCCGCCGAAGGGGTGGGCGCCGCCGAAGTGGGCGCCGCCGAACTGGGCGCCGCCGAAGGGCGCCGCCAGCTGCCCGCCGTACGGCTGGGGCGGCCCGCCGAAGGGCGCGGCGCCGAAGGGCTGGGCGCCGTACGGCGGCGCGGCGCCGCCGCCGAAGGGCGCCGCCGCGCCGGGCGCCGCCGCGTCGCTAGGGCGGGGGGCCTGCTCTCGGGCGGGGGGGGGGCCGGCCGGCGAGGCAACGCCGGCGGCGAGGCACGGGAGCCTCCCATGCCCGCGTGAGGGCCTGTGGGCCCTGTCGAATCGACGCCAGTCGACGCCAGTCGACGTTCATCGGCGCTGAATGGGCGCTCGTCGACGCCAAGCGGCGCTGAATCGGCGCTGTCTCGTCGACTACCAGAGGCAAGTCGACGCTGGTGCATTCTAGATATGGCATTCAGAGGGTACACAAGGCTCCCATGATCTGCTGCCGAGCTTGTCGACGAGGCAACGGCGCAGGGATCGACTAAAACAATATGTTGAACCTTCATCCCGTTTGCGTTTTCCCTTTTGTTGTCCTCGTTCCGCCTTTGCTGCAAGAGAGCGTTATCTTGTTCGGTGTTTCAACATTCTGCGGAAGGGAACGGCAGGGGGGCCTGGCGCTCTGGACCTCTGTTCAATGCAACTGTTTGCAACAGTGCGTCCCATGGGGGAGGCTCCACCTGTTTGAAACAGGAGCTCAAAACAGCCAAGATCCACTCCATGGGGAGCGGGGAGATGAGGCGCCAGGGCCCGCGCCGATCGGAAAAAATAGGGACTAAGGCAGCGATCGCCAAAACGACGTCGAAGCAGAAACGGCCCGCGAAGTCGCCCAAACAACTTTTGCCTCGACGGCTAGGCCGATTACCTGCGCTGGCGATGAGCTGCCTGGACGGGGTGCCGCGGTAGCGAATCGTGGCACCATGCAGGAGGGGGGAGAGGGCAGGAATGCTGCCGAAAAGGGGGTGACTACCTACCAGGCCACCCCAACCCAACCCGAAGACCCGCATTTCGACAGAACTTAGGATTGGGGGGCGGGGGTGCAGGTTCCATATGTGTTTTTGTTCAGTGTCCCTCAAGCCGCCCCCCACTGGAAATGGAGGTCGAATGGAGGCCTTCGGGTTGGGTTGGGGCGGTGGGTGGGTGGCGAGGGGGTGGGGTTAGGTCGGGCGTGTCCCCCTATAGGCGGATTTTGGGCGAAAAAATAAAAACACGCAGACAATCAGCAGAACTGATCGAAAACACTCTAAGAATCGTCCCCAAACTTTTCTCTGGACTAGTTTTGGGTATTCCCCCTGTGCAGGGACGTGCCCCACGTCAGGGTGGGGACGGGTCACGCCAGGGGCGCGTGGAGACCGAAGTCGCCCAGACACGGCTTCGGTCGAGCCCTGCAGCGGCGGCCCTCCCGAGAGACGCGCGCACGCCGTCGCGCCGGCAGCCCGCGCCAGGAGAGATGTCGGGCCGTGCCCTCGGCCAGCGGGGGGTCCCCGCGCGGGCCCCGCAGGGACAGCCCAGCACCGACTCGGAGCGAAACGCCGGGGACTGCAGGCCAGGCCAGGCCAGGACGAGGGCCAGATCGATGATCCTCAGAGCGCGTGCAAGCGCCAACGTGTGTTTGTTCACCGAGGCCCTGCAATACGACGCAGGCGGCGCAACGAGGGCCGACACAAGCTGCGCGCTATCGGCGGAACCGAGCGGGGTAACATAATGCGGGATGACGATGAATAAAAAATATGGGAGAACGATTACAAACATAGTTTTTTGTTATTTCTGCATAAGTTTCTGACTGGAGGAGAACGATAAGAAATAGTTTTCCAGCCCGCGGCCGGTTTTTTCTAATCGTCATCCTGGGCGCCGCCGCGTGAACACGACCCCAGGTCATTGGTGAATGGTCATCCTCCATTACACACTTGGGCTAACACACGTCCTATGGATCATCGGATCAAATCGGGTCAGGAGAAAGCCAGAATCTCTGAAATCCGGCGGATCTGTGGGACGCCTCGATCGGGCGCCGCGGCCTTCTCAGAGCATTCCAGAACACGCTGAGAGCGTGTTCTGGAACGCTCTGAACGGATTGTTCCTCGTGCTATTCCCGTCCGAGGACTTCCAGAGAACGATCTCATGCTTTGTACAAAGCGGGGCCCCAGAAAGTCCAGACCCTTCTCCGGGACCGGTTTTTCATCCTGCGCCGATACTTGACAGTAAAGGGGCCTGGTGAGGACCCCCAGAGGCGAAAAAGCGCTGAAGAATTTCCCGCCCAGACTTTTTACGACGCGAGCATGTCTGGGGACGTCAGGGGGTCTGTGGTGAACAAGTCTGGGTCCGTGGCGCAAGGGCCTCCTGGAAGCTCCGCGCCGCCACGGCCAAAGATCCGAGCCGAAACCATGCGGCAGGAGGACTCCTTTGCAGGAGTCCTGGTCGGAGGAGGAGTTCGGGTCCGGAGATCGATCGTTGAGCGGAGTTGGGCTGGGGGCTGACCTGCACCTCGTTCGCGAACATTTGTTCCCGAACCGTCGACGAACCCTTCGTTTTGAACATCTCTGTTTTCTCTTAACAAAGCGGCCCTGGACAAGGCTCATGGGTGTAGTGGAGTTCGCGAACAGGTGGTTCTGAAACGTTGCCGAAAAGTTTGCGAACATCCGATAATCAACATGCTTGTCCACCCTTCCGAGCACAAAATAGGGCACGCCTAGTTGTTGAGCGGATTTGGGCTTGAACGGACGTCCGCCGTTGTCTCGTCGTCAGGCTTGGTCCAAGGAGGGGTCGAGGGACCGATTTTTGGGCGGATTTGGGCCTGGCGGAGGGGGCACTGGTGTCGCAACTGATTTTTCGAATGTATGCGAAACTGTACCTCCCCTCCTGGCCTGGTCACCCGCGCCCTCTCCGATGCCGTCCCAAAACTATTCGAGGCCATCTGATGGCTATCCTTAGGTCGGGCGTGTCCCCCTACCGGCGGATTCGGGGGCGAAACAAAAAGTCACAACAGATTCAAAATTAGTCTGGCGAAAGACCCAACCAAATGCAGTTGCGAGTACCGCAATGGTAAATGTCTTCTTCGGTGGCGCTCCCTATGGGGCAACGAAGCGCTGTACTGGGTGGGTGCAGCGCAGAGAGCAAGGGCCGTGCTGGGTGGTGGCGGACGCATGCGGGCGGTGCCGCTGGGACCTTCCGTGGAGCCCCTTCATGGGGCCACGAAACGCTGTACTGGGTGGGTGAAACGCAGGGAGCAAGGGCTGTGCTGGGTGGTGGCGGACGCATACGGGCGGTGCCACTGGGACCTTCGGTGGAGCTCCCTTGTGGGGCCACGAAACGCTGTACTGGGTGGGTGAAACGCAGGGAGCAAGGGCTGTGCTAGGTGGTGGCGGACGCATGCGGGCGGTTCCACTGGGACCTTCGGTGGAGCTCCCTTATGGGGCCACGAAGCGCTGTACTGGGTGGGCGAAACGCAAGGAGCAAGAGCTGTGCTGGGTGGTGGCGGACGCATGCGGGCGGTGCCACTGGGACCTTCGGCGGCGCACCCTTTTTATGGGGCCACGAAGCGCTGTGCTGGGTGGGCGAAGCGCAGGGAGCAAAGGGATGTGCTGGGTGGTGGCGGACGCATGCGGGCGGTGCCACTGGGACCTTCGGTGGAGCCCCCTCATGGGGCCACGAAGCGCTGTACTGGGTGGGTGAAACGCAGGGAGCAACAGCTGTGCTGGGTGGTGGCGGACGCATGCGGGGGGTGCCACTGGGACCTTCGGTGGAGCCCCCTTTTCCATGGGGCCACGAAGCTCTGTGATGGGTGGGCGAAACGCAGGGAGCAACAGCTGTGCTGGGTGGTGGCGGGCGCATGCTGGCGGAGCCACTGGGACCTTCGGTGGCGCCCCCTGTATGGGGCCACGAAACGCTGTACTGGGTGGGTGAAACGCAGGGAGCAACAGCTGTGCTGGGTGGTGGCGGACGCATCCGGGGGGGACCACTGGGACCTTCGGTGGAGCCTCCTTTTTATGGGGTCACGAAACGCTGTACCGGGTGGGTGAAACGCAGGGAGGAAGTGCTGTGCTGGGTGGTGGCGGACGCATGCGGGCGGTGCCACTGGTACTTTCGGTGCAGCCCCCTTTACGGGGCCACGAAACGCTTTACTGGGTGGGTGAAACGCATGGAAGAAGGAGGAGGGAGGGAAGGAGGGGGAGGAGGAGAAGAGAAGGGGAACGCGGCACCGCCTCTTCAAAACGAGGACCCAACACCACAGCATGGTTGGGAAATACGAGAAGCAGCAAATCATCCCCAGATTATGTGTTACTATTTGTGAATATCCCTCGTGAAGAGGAACGTGCCCGACTTAGGACTGGTCGCCCGCGCCATCTCCGATGCCGTCCGAAGCGGTCCGAGGCCACTTCTCGTGGCTATCCAGGGGGCTGCCCGTCGCGCTTGCCGAGGCCATCCGAGGCAAATCCTGCCCTGATCTTGCCGTCGCCCGGACGTCCATTTCCCGTGCATTTGTTGGTTGCGCGCGTGTTTTTGTTGCTCGATGGTCCAGGATGGTCCTCGATGGTTCTCGCCGAGAGAAAATGCACACGTCCGAGCGATGCCAAGTGATATCCTGGGGTCGCAAGTTGTTCGGGCCAGGCGTCTTCGCAGAATTTCAGGAGCTCGGGCGCGTCATCCTACAGGGGGATTTTGGAGGACAAACTTTTAAAATAGTCCACAAAGATTCCAAAACATGCCCCAACGAAAATCAAACAATCGTCCCCTGACTATTTTTTACTATGTCTGAATCTTCCCCCCCTGTGGAGGGACGTGCCCGACTGGAGCAGAACTCCGCGCCGTGGAGCCTTCACATTTCGATCCGGCTCGGGCAACGACGCAGGAAGATGCGGTCCAGGGCTCTGGTCGTGAACTTCGCGCTGTTGCATTTTTGTTCGCGTCGTCGGGCCCCAAGGTAGCCTTAAGTCGGGCCTGTTCCCCTACGGGGGGATTTTGGACGAAAAATGAAAAATACTCAAAACATACTCAAAAGATGCCCAAAAATAGTCAAAACATGCTGCCTAGACTATTCTTTAAACTATTTTTGAATATTCCCCCTGTAGAGGGGCAGGCCCGACTTACAGGTAGCCCTATTCCACGGCTGGCAGGGCACCAGCAAGAGAGGGGGCAGAGCAGCCCCCCCTCCCAGACTCCTCGCGTGACTGCCCCTCCCTCCGAGCCTTGCAGCCCATGGGGCCCGTGCCGCCGCATAGCTGGTTGGCCGACCGGTTCTTGAAGCTGCACGTGGGGCACACCCACTCGCCCTGGCGCATCTGGGTACGCAGAGGAAACCGAAACGAGGACCATGGCCAGGACGGAGTGCGGAGACGCCGGTGCCGATCTTGGTCACCGCCCATCCCAGCCACCGTCAACTCGTGGATCAGCCTCGCGACAATCGGCGACGGCCGGCAGGTCGGCGTCGACGAGATCCCGCGACATGCCCAGACCCCCCGACGCGGTGATCTGTCTCACGACGTGGACTCAGAGGTCTAGAGTTAAGTCGGGCGTGTCCCCCTACAGGGGGATTTTCGACGAAACATAAAGAGACGGAAACAAACATTAAAAGAGATCAAAAAATAGTCCCCAGACTATTTTTTGACTATTTTTGAATACTCCTTCTGTAGAGGGACGGGCCCGACTTAGTCGTAGTTGACGGTCCCGAGGCCGGGCGAAGGCCTCCATGGGCCCGAACACGGCGCAAAACCTCCGCCCTGAATGTTTGTTTTAACGACGCGAGCACGTCTGGGCACCTTCCCCCCAGACCCCGGGCGTTGGGACTCTCCACGGCGTGGACCTCCAGATGTCGGAACCCTCTCCGGGGACGCGAGCCGTTCTGCGGACGGCCGCGCGACCCGGGAAGGGCCCCCGGGGGGCCGCGAGCGCAGAAAGAGCTCCGCCGTGCTCGCTGCCAAAGCGTTGGGGGTCTGGGATCTGAGTCGGGCGCGTCCCCCTGCAGGGGGATCCTCGGCGAAAAGTGAAAAATATTCAAACAGATGCAGAAGAACTAAACAAAATACAAAAAAGATCCCCCCCAGACTATTTTTGGACCCTTTTCTGAACTTTCCTCCTGTAGAGGGACAGGCCCGACTTACGTCTGGGTCCTGGCCACGTGGCCGTCGTGTCTCCTCCCTCGGCGGGTGCCCGTGGTGCGGAGGAAGGGCCTCCCCCTCTCTCGGGCGGCTGGTGCCGCGCGGCTCAGCCTGCCACGCCGCCGGCCATGCCCAGCTCGGAGGCCACGTGAGCCACAGCGGCGAGGGCGCGCGGGCGGCGGCAGCGGCTCGGATCTCCGACGACGTGGCGGTCTTCGACCCGACGGGCTGGGGCTGCTAGGAAAAACCTCCCGACCCGCCTCACCAACACACCCTGCATAGTGAGCGTTCTTTTCGGCGCTTCGACATTGGGCGGCAAGGGGGGGGAGCTCTGGCTCCGGACCTCTGCTCAGTGCGACTGTTTACAGGAGTGCGGCCTCTGGGTCGAAAAGGGGGGTTTGGGGGCCCGCGCCGATCGGCAAAGCAAGGAGTAACAAAAACGATCACATACCGCGGCCGCCAGGCACAGCGATAAAATCTGCCGATGCTCCACGGGCATACCTCGCCTCGTGCCCTCGACGAACGAGGACTGCGTGCCGTGGCCGCGGGCCCCCGAGTGTGCGGGTCCTGCCTGGGCATCCAGCCTCGCGTTATTGGGCGGGAATCGCTCGAACCAAAACTGTTTACACTGTATATTTTGTCCGTGATTGCACCCCCTGGGCCCCATTATCGGGCCCTCGGACCATCCCACACTGATCTGGGAGGAAGGACTTGGCCAGGGGGAGGGATCAGGACCTCTGGGACTGGGCCCTGGAAAAAATCGCGTCGGATGCCTGGATTCGTGGAATGATTTGTCGAACATCCTGTGAGAATCGCCACGCTCCCCTACCAGACCCACAATGCCTCGCGGCAAATCGATCGCATCGTCCATCGACACCCTGCGAGCGCTCCGCCCGCTGATGAAGAACCCCCCCCATCAATGGAGACTCCTGAGTTGCAGGACGTACACCTCGGTGCTGAGAAGGCAGCGCGAATCACGGCTCAGGCTCAGCATGAGGAACCCGCGCGCACACAAGTCCCCCCCGCGGAGGCCCCCTCGTGAAGCCCAAACCTTGGTCTGGATGCCGTCCCGCTCACGCAGCCTGCACGGACTCTCGGACGAGGGCCAACCTGGACAACGGCGGCTCTCCCGCCAAGCCGCAAACCGCTCCCCAACAAAAATCCGCCAAGGTGCCTGATCTGCCCCGTCGTTCCACAATCCGGGTTGGAAACATGTCGAGTGCATACGATTGGTGTTGAACGCACCTCGAACTCGCGTCGAACCCACGCCAAACCCAGGTAGAGTCCGCAGCGAACCCGCTTCGGGCACAAGGAAACCATTAGTTCTGATGACTCGAGGATTGACGAACCCGCCTTTAGCGAATCCACATTTCGCGAAACACAATCAGCGAAACACATTTAGTCAGAGCCTCTGTGGGTCCCCTGCCTTCCAGGTCGGCTCCTCGTAGGATATGCGCCTGCTGCGCGCGTCGGTCGGTCGCGCGCGCGAAAACAGGAAGGACCCTGACCTTCCAGGAAGGCTAACAAGCAGCACCAGGACGTCGACGTCCTACTTCCTATCGAGGTTTGAGGCAGTCTAGATAGATCTCTAGGTCTGGAATGCTATTTTCAACAGTTTGGAAGGTCAGGGGAGGAAGGCGCGGGTCAAGTAGCTTGGACCCAGGCCCTCCCAGATAATCAAAAAAACACAGCAAAAACATATCGACTCTTGACGAAGGACGGCGCTGGAAGCAGATTGGGATCTGGGAGTCCGAGAATAAACCTACTCTCAACGACCGGCGTGTACGCCTCCTGGCCGACGCCGGGAGTCTTCTACTCCACACAACATCGTTCGCCCAGGATGGCCCTGACCATGCACGGTGGCGGCGGTGGCTTGGAGATGCCTTCCGCAGGAAGACCGGACCGCGAGCGCGGCCATACATGCACAATCCGGACCGCTCGGGGGCCAGAAGACGCAAAGAGATATTGAGCGTCGATGCCGCAGGGGGCCTGCTTCCTCCGTGGCTGCGCCAGCGGTGACTCACACATTCAGACACACAACACCGACCCAGCACCAATACGTAGCTTCATTGGTCCAGGTCTCCCAGCCCAGCCCAACGCCAGTGTCTGAACCTAGATTTTGGGCCGGGCCCACCTGACCGAAATTAGCCTGACGAAGGATCCAACCATATGCATGTGTGAGTACCGCAATAGTGATTCACTTTTTCGGTGGTGATCCCATATGAGGCAACAAACCCAAACCGTGCTAGGGGTGTGCCAAAATGAGTGGCGTGGTACACAACGCAAGCGAAAACGATTGATTTGAGTACGTGGGGAGACAGAGCGCGGGTGAATCTGAGCGCGAGTGCGTCTGACTGTGGATGCATCTGCGTGCGAGCGAGCCTACGTGCATGAATGCGAGTACGACAAAGCATGGTGTACTTGTATATGAATGTCATACCTTTTGAGAACGACTGCCTCTGAATACTCGTGACGCTGGGCGTGGCCGCCGCAAGGAGCTTCCCCGGGACTCCCCGACGGCATCGCCCGCGCGCCGCGACGCCAATGTCGGCGCGCCCCCCCGCGAGGATCGCGCCCGCTTCCTCCCATTCTTTTGCTCCCACTTTGCCCGCGCACTCAAAAGTCCAAGGCTGTGGGCGCAGCGCAGCGCGGAGTCCCCGCGACACGCGCAGGTCGCCCTGGAGGGGTCTTGCCGCTGGGCAGAGCGAAAAAGGGCGAGCGAGGCGCGGAACTCCGACGGCCTCCGACGGAGGTGTACTGGGTGGGGGAGAAGCATGCGGACTGCGCCACGGGGACCTTCGGTGGGGCTCCCTATGGGGCCACGACACGCTGTACTGGGCGGGGGAACCGCATGCGGACTGCGCCACGGCGACCTTCGATGGAGCCCCTATGGGGCCACGAAACGCTGTACTGGGCGGGGGAGACGCATGCGGGCTGCGCCACGGGGGCCCTTGGTGGACCCCCATGGTGCCACGAAGCGCTGTACTGGGTGGGGGAAACGCATGCGGGCTGCGCCACAGGGGACCTTCGGCGGAGCCCCTGTGGGGCCACGAATCGCTGTACTGGGTGGGGGAAACGCATGCGGACTGCGCCACGGGGACCTTCGGTGGGGCTCCCTATGGGGCCACGAAGCGCTGTACTGGGCGGGGGAGACGCATGCGGACTGCGCCACGGGGGCCTTAGGTGGACCTCCCTGTGGGGCCACGAAACGCTGTACTGGGTGAGGGAGACGCATGCGGACTGCGCCACGGGGACCTTCGGCGGAGCCCCTATGGGGCCACGAAGCGCTGTACTTGGTCTTGGGGGACGCATGTGGGGCCTTCCGGTGGGGCTCCCTATGGGGCCACGAAGCGCTGTACTGGGTGAGGGAGACGCACGTGGTACACACCACTGGGGCCTTGGGTGGACCTCCCTATGTGGCCACGAAGCGCTGTACGGGGTGGGGGAGACGCATGTGGTACACACCGCTGGGGCCTTAGGTGGACCTCCCTATGGGGCCACGAAGCGTGAGAGGAGGAGAGGAATGAGGAGGAGGAGGAAACGCGGGGACCGTCTCTTCAAAACGAAGATCCAACAACACCGGTTGGTTGGGAAAAAAACATACGCATAAACGATCGGACGTCCGTGCGGATTCCGTTGATCTGCGATCGATCACCTTGGTGGCGCCTCTGGCGCCGCCCCTGGCACGCGGATCGCGCCAAGAAGAAGGGTCCACCGCCGATCCAAGACATCCCCTGAGCTCCGATGTTGGAAAACGAAGAAACAACGTAAAAACACACGACTGGAGACCCAAACCCAATTTCCTGCGGCATTTTGAAGGCCAGGTCGACCTGTGAGAGCCCAAGGGTCCGAAACTGGGCGAACACGCCCAATGCGAAACAATTGCATCGCCCAGCTCCCCAGACCCCCCGCGTCATGAATTTTCCATGACGTGGGTCCTCAGAGGTCAAAACCCCTTCTGGGGAACCCGTTTTTCATCGCGATTTGTTTTGTGACAATCCCGAGGCCTGGCAAGGGCCCCAGGAGGCCGAAAATATAGAAAAACCCCCCGTCGCGTTTTCTCCACGACGCAAGAGGGTCAGATTCTCAGGGTCGAGCAGAACTCAGAACAATTCTGCTCATACCGTGCTTCCATCGTCTGGACAGTATGCCCGATGATGGTGGCAATGATGCTGATGATGGTG